AAAAAAAAAAAAAACAATCTTTGCAGCTTATGGCTGCATCAGCACTTTCGGTTGGATGCCAGTCTGCTTGCCCTAATCTCCTGCTCTGGGGAGCGTCATCAGTACTTTGCCACACCCAAGCCAGTCCTCTCAGTGGTAGCAGTAAAAATTTAGTCATTTGAAATGAAACCAGAAACATCCCTCACAACTAACCTACTTTTCTTATCAGTGCATTAATGAAACATTCTTTTAATAAAAATATTTAATACAAGACACATTTTTCTGTGCATAATAAATTCCTGTTTTGAATCATTCTTAAGTTTTGAATCAATCCATAGATGTAAAGTTTTTCTTTATCTGACATGGTTTATTACATATAAAATCCACAAATATAGAAATTGGGAAACAGGATTTCCTGGCAATCATGGGGGTGGTTTTTGTCCTTATGCATGAAATGATGCTCAGTGATACGATTTTACAGGTGTTTTATGGGGGTAGTTCTGTTCTGATTCTACCTTTAAAACTGCTGACTGAAAAATCCAAGATTTTTATACTTTTAGGCAGTATTAGAAATCCCCTGTACTTTTTTTTTTTTAAAGGTATTATCCCCAAATTCAGCAAAGCAGTGTTGGGGGCAGAGTCATTAGAAATACCTTGGGTGGTGGTAGGGAGGGGAGTCAGGAGAGTCAGCAAAAAACCTCAACTCGTGCCTCTCAGGGGTTACGGCTGGAAAGTCTTGGTTGCACACTTTCTGTTACTGGTGCAGAAAGAACATCCCCAGGAAGGGCCAGCGGCCTTTCGCCCGTGACAAGGCCACACAAACAGAGCAGTCTTCCTCCTGGGCTGGGTGGAAACGGAGGCGCGAAGGGAAGCCTGCTCCGGGACTGCTCAGCGTGCAAGGCACCGCGAGGACAGGAGGATGGTGAGTATCAGAAAATTGTGGTTTCATACTTGGTATTAATTCCTCTCTTGGCTTCTTGTCCTGGCTCCACAATCCACGGCAGATTGGCCAGAGTCTTTTGTTCAGAGGGGTCGATCTGCTTTAAAACAGAAAGGCTGATGCCTGTTATACGGTACCTGTACTCGGGTGCAAACATGCTTCTTAAAACTTTTTGGAAACCAATGCTATGCTCTGACAGGACTGCAGGGATATTGATACATGAGAATCTTGTGTTTGTCCTTTTAATACACATTTATTGTATAAGGACTATATGCAAGGCACTCAAGGGGTGGATGGTGAATGAGACTCAGCCTTTGCTCTTGAAGGCACACAGATGGAGAGCAAACACAGAATTCTGCACTTCAGTACTGAGAAGGGGGAAGGAGGAAGAGAGGGTGCTCTGTGGTCAAGGAGCCAGGGGACTTCCTGGAAGAGGTGAACCAGGTTATGTCACTCCCCACCTCTCCAGCCTACAGTGGTTTCCATCACAAAGTAAACCCTAAGTCCTTCAGGTGAAGCCCAGCCACTCTGGCTTTGCTTCTCCCTGCATGCCAAGCCTACACCCAGGGCCTTTACTCACATCATCTGCTCGGCAGGAATGCCTTTCTCCAGACACCTGCATGTCTTATACCCTAATGTCATTCAGGTTGCAGCTCGAACACCACCTCCTCACCTGTTCACCCCATACAAAATAGCATCCTAACTTTTCTGCTCTTTTCTTCTGCTCTTTTCTTTATAATCCTTGTGCCACTTACATTATCTCATGTTTATTAGTTCATCCTACACTGCAGTGTAGAATTTTGTTTTGTCACTGTTTCCCCCAAACTTAGAAAAGCTCCTGGCAACCCAGTAAATAATAGTGGGCACACAATACATACTTATTGGATATTATAAAATAATGAGGTAATATCTGAACAGCTGGAGGATGAGCAAGAGTTTGCCTGGCAAGGGGGCAGGGAGAGGGGGAATAGCATGTGCAAAGCCCCTGAGGCAAGGAGAAAGAGCTGGTTGAGAGCTTGCAGTTTGCAGAGTGGGAGACTGGAGGGTAAATAGGTAAGCAGGGCCAAGTTAGGCTGAGCCTTGACCAAACTGAACTGAGCTGTAAAACAGTTAAAACCATTTTAGCCCCTGTGCACACAAAGTCAAAAAAGGCCACTCGTGGGTGAGGCTTGAGCTGTATGCTCTTAGGCAGGGCTTTCGCAGGGAGTTCTTCCCCACATTGCTGCCTCATCTTTTCCACATCTGCCCTGGCCCTGGCTATGTGCTCAGCTCAGGAGTGCTGGAGCAAGGTAGCCTGGGAAGGCCTCATTTCTCTTGCATTGTGAACTTTCGTGCCTGCTGGAAGGCTGTGGGATCCATGCCCTTTGGCTACCTTCCAGCATGATTTGATTGTATCTCCACAAAGCTGTGGGGAGGACTTCACATGTTCTTAGGAATCATGGAATATTTTTGAGTAATAAACAAATAGACCTGAGGGAGATGGAACATGGACACCAGCTGAGGGGGATGGGATGCTGAGGCAGTTAAAGAACATCAGTATTATTCACTGTATATTTTCATCATTTCTCAGTGAAGGGTTTTAGATGCATATTCTATGAGCCCCCATGGCATCCATCCCAGTTGTGCTCTCTTGGAAGAAGTCTTTGGGGACCAGAGTAAAGTCTGATGGAGGCACCTGCCTTGAACAGATTTATCCAGCCCATGTGAGAATGAATTACAACAGTCTAAGAGATAATCCAAAAAATATTCTGAAAACTGGACATTTAATTTACAGTTCTGTGGGGGAAGATAGATTATGAACAAATCTCCATCAATAAATACTACACAGAATTAAAAGCAGGTATATGCTTGAGTGCCTGGGCATCTACCTCAGATTGGGCGGCCCAGGAAAAGCTTCATGTAGTGGAGACCTGAATGACAAGTGGGAGTCAGCTGTGCAGAAAATATGGGGGATACTATGCCAGGTGGAATGAACAGGTAGCACAAAGGTCTTGGGTAGGAGTGAGCTTTGGTCTGTTTGAGGAATAGGAAGGCCTGAGCATCACAGAGAAGTGTGGTGGGAATTAGCTTTTGGAACTTGGGGCAGTGGTGCCATGATCTGATGTGTTTTTTAGGATCACTCTGGTTGCATGGAGAAAGAGAGACTGTTAGGACATGTACTGCAGTAGTTCTGGAGAGCAGTGGTGGTAGCCTGGATGAGAAGAGTGAGGAAATGGAGAGGAGTGGACAGATCTATGTTTTAAGGGTTGAGTGGATGGAACCTGCTCATGGTTGTACATGGTGGTGAGAGGAAGACAGGAATTAAGAATGACCTCTGGATTTATGGCTTAAACAATATGGTAAATGGTTATGCCATTTACCGAGCTGGGAAAGATTGAGAGTGTAAACAGCTTTAAGGGGAAAATCAAGAATTTTATTCCAGGGACTTCCAGGGAAGATGGTGGCCGAGGAGAATCCTAGGCTCAACTCATCCCATGGATACACCTGGATAATACCCACATCAGTGTAAATAACCCAGAAATGATCTATAGACTGGCAGAACAGACTTTTCACGGCTAAATGTAGGAAAGAGGCCACACTGAAGAAGGGAGGAAAGGCAGAGATGCAGTTGGAAGCCAAATGGGCCTGTGGTACCTGAGGGAGGGATGCTGTGGGCCCAGAGGGGAGAGGAGCAGATCCTACACCAGGCACCCAGGCACAGGGCACCTGCCCTGGGGAAGATGAATTCCCATAACATCTGGGTTTGAAAACCAGAGGGGCTTAACACACCTCTAACTTTGAAAATCAGTGAACCGGAGACTGATAGGAAACTAAGTCTCTGCCCTTAAAGAGACAGCATAACAAATAGCCCCACCAAGATACAGCATAGAAGCAGCAGTTTGAAAAATGCCTGTAGTATATGGAAGGGAGGGAGATTTATTTACTAATCTCTGAGCATGTGCTAGAGACGCAGAGATCTTTGGGAGACTTCTCTAAGAACAAACGAACTGGCAGGCACCATTTCCTTCCCCCAACCCCCAGCCTACATACAGGTATACCCGTGTGAACCAGTGCAGCACTCTACCTAGCTTGCTAACAGCATGCCCTGCCCCATAGCCTCCTGTAGACCCAGCTCCCAACCTGGCCTTGTTGAGTGCATCCAAAGCAATGCCACAAGCATGGCAGTATGCAAGCAGGCCTGACAGGGGTCAGCACCACTGCAAAGCAACTCCTGCCCTGGGGAGAGGGGAAGAAAACCACACACAGCAGTCTGTGGCCCCAGGAGTGTGCTGGGAATATTTAGTCTGACTATAGGCCCCATCCCCCAACAAAAACTTCTCAGGAGACAACACAGAGTGCCTTGCAGTGTGGTGCTCCTGTAGCTCTGGAAAATACCTGGTCTATTCCAACTTAAGCCCAAGGCAGCCCAGACTAACCCCCTAACACAGGGGACCAAACCCTGCCCACAGCAGGCAAAGAGCCATAGCAGACAACTGGACTGAAGGCAAAAACAGCTCAGCCAGAACAGTGAGACACATGCAACAGAGAGAGGAGACACCCCAGAAGTGCCAGATTCTGGTGAACAGGGGACACTACACTGTAGGGCACTATAGGACCTCTTCTTGTTAGGGTCACTACTTTCAAGAGCAGAAGACATAACTGACTTTCCTAATAGAAACAAGACACACAAAGGCAAAATGAAGAGACAGAGGAGTAGGTCCCAAATTAACTAATAGGACAAAGTTACAGAAAAATAGCTAAAATCTTGGAGATAAGTAATATGCCTGATTAATACTTTAAAGTAAAGGTCATAAAGATACTGGACTTAAGAGTAGAGGACCTCAGGGGCACCTGGGAAGCTCAGTCGGTTGAGCATCCGACTTCGGCTCAGGTCATGATCTCACAGTTTGTGGGTTCAAGCCCCGCATGAGGCTCTGTGCTGACAGCTTGCTCAGAACCTACAGCCTGCTTCAGATTCTGTGTCTCCTTCTCTCTCTCTCTGCCCCTCCCCTGTTCATGCTCTGTCTCTCTCTCTGAAAAATAAATAAAAGTTTAAAAAAAAAAAAAAGAGAGAACCTGAGACCCTCAACAAAGATAGACAACATAAAAAAACCAGAGAGATGAGGAACGCAATTAGAAATTAAAATTACATTAGAGGGAACAAACAGACTAAAGGAAGCAGAAGAATGGATGTGTGACCTGGAAGACAGAGTAATGGAAAGCAATCAAGCTGAACAGGAGAAAGAAAAGAGCTTAATAAAAAATGAGAGTAGATTAAGGGAACTCAGTGAGACCATCCAGTGTAATAACACTGCATTATAGGGATCCCAGGAAGAGGAGAGAGAAAAAAAGGGGCAGAAAACTTATTGGAAGAAATAATAGCTTAAAGCTTGGCCAATATCGAGAATGAAATAGAAATCTAGATCCAGGAGACACAGAGCACCCCCGACTAAACCCAAGGAGGGCCACACCAAAACACACAGTAATTAAAATAGCAAAAAGTAGTGATAGAGAATTTTTAAAGCAGCAAGAGAAAGGAATACAGCTACATACAAAGGAAGCCCCATAAGGCTATCAGCTGGTATTTCAGCAGAAACTTTTCAGACCAGAAGGGAGTGGCATGACATATTCAAAGTGCTGAAAGAAGAAAAAAGCCCGCAACCAAGAGTACTCTAATCGCAAGGCTATCATTCAGAATTGAAAGACAGAGATAGAGTTTCCACAGACAAAAGTTAAAGGAATTCATGATCACGGGGCACCTGGGTGGCTCAGTCAGTTGAGCATCTGACTTCAGCTCAGGTCATGATCTCGTTGGGTTCTGTGCCGAAAGCTTGGAGCCTGGAGCCTGCTTCCGATTCTGTGTCTCCCTCTCTCTGCCCCTTCCCCGCTCATGCTCTGTCTCTCAAAGATGA